TCGAAGTCAAGCCAAACTCACAGTTTTGCTTGCTTTTGTTTTGAGACCTGTTAAACTCTCTTGATTTTCCATGTGGTTTTGTACTGGATTCTAAGCTGGTTCAGTTTGTGGTTCAGAGCCAGCTCCAGGTGGCCTGGGGATTACAAATGCCTTGCCACCAGAACAAAGGAAACTGCTTTCTGAACTCTGGCAAAGCTAAATCCTTCTTCACATTTCCAGTCGAGAGAGTAGGCCCAGTTTGTAACTAGTCCCTTGAAACAGGGAATTACAAATCTTAGTTTCAGTGTGAAAACATAAGACAATTTTTTTTTCTTTGTACTATGGAGTGATTCTTTCTTTTCCCTCTTCCTGTTCCCCATATGACCACTGCTACCTCCTATAGAAATGGAATCCACTGGAAATCAACTCCCCTGGAAAATGAATGGTTTGGAAACCTTTCAGAAAAGACAAATTATTAAAAGACCCACTTTCAGACTCATGGGCTTACTTCCTGTACATGTGGAAAGTGGGCTGTCTGCAGTCTGCCAGGTTCCTTTGGGTTCCAGTATTCTCTGCTTGTATACAACTCTTCTTACCTGGCCTCACAATACTGAGATCACCGCTGCAAAGCCCTCCAGCATCTTCCTCATCCACCTGGAAGAGGTTTCCTTTTTATTCCTTTGGGCCACCAGTTCTGACAGCAAAACCCAGATTATCAGCTTTGCTATTGTTATCTGTTATTCTTCTTGTATTCCAGCTTTCCTCATTAAACAGGATCATATAACCTTTCCTGCCAGTCTGCAGACTGCTGGGAGCATTGACCTGCCTCACCGAGCTCCATGACCATGTACTGAAAACAAAAGTGGATCCTCCTTTTTATAATTCATAGGCCATCTGTTTAGTTTTTACAAGAAGAAAAACAGTAAGTGTAGGGTTCATGCTAGTCAGTCTCCACAGCTTTAGAAAAAAAAAAAAAGAAAGATTCTTATCATAAACAACTTCAATGCAGTTCACCAAGGAGACACACAGGTGCTAAAAACAATTGGAAGGTAAGAACTAGATCCCTCCCAGCACAGCAGTTCTGTAGGCTTCCTGAGGGATCTCTGTAGGTGAGTTCCCATCACCTCAGTGTCCTGCATGGCCGCCAGCACCATGATATTCCTGTCTGTTTACCTGAGTGGTAAAAAGAATGCTGTAGTGACCATCAACTACTTTGTGGTCCCCTTCCTGAGCTCTCCCTCAAGCTATCACCTTCTAGAGAGCCCCTTTATACCCCAGGCCCCAAAAGAGAGGGAAGACAGCACATTCTTACATGCCAGTATAACCAAATGCATGTTTTTGGGCAAATTATAGTTCAAATTACCAGGTTTTTTTCTGTGTAAGAAAATGAACAGATTTATCTACTAATTCCTGCATAGAATGAATATGGTCAATTCCATGACAATCTTCTGGTTAAAATGAAGGGAATGTATTTTTTTAGGAAGCTCTGTCTCATAGCATTTGAGCTGGCAGAAAAATGGTAGCCATGGGAGTCTCCAAGAAAAAGTCAGCAGGGATCCATCACCCACTCAGAGGGCTGAGCGATGAAATCCATACCATCCTGGGGAGCAGTTTGCTTAGCACAGGGAGGAAGGGCTCACCTCTTCTACAACCTTCGGCTCCCAGACTTCTGCCTCAAAATTGAGAAAAACGGTGAGGCTGATCAAACCGCTGCTTCCTTTTGCACATGACTGAAATATAACCGTTATCCCAGCCTGACGAGATTAAAGGAAGGCTGCTGCTTCATTCACTGGCATTCCT